TCCTCTCCTCTCCTCTCCTCTCCTCTCCTCTCCTCTCCTCTTCCCTTCCCTTCCCTTCCCTTGCCTTGCCTTGCCTTGCCTTGATGAGGTTGTGGAAGATCAGTGCATTGCCTAGAATGTTAGGTTAGCAATGAGGAGACCAGGGTTAACTTCCCACCCTACTTAGAGATTCCCTGGGGCTCAAGGTAAAGAGAATAAACTTTTAAAATATCATAAATAAATATAGAGATGGACCTTTTCCTGGTTTCAGCCATTCCAAACAACAGTCTGACCAACTTCTGCACCCCGTGCATCCTTCATCCATGATCTTCTACTTGACTTCTCTCCAAGAATATAAGACCTTCTAGCGGTGTTCCATGCCTCCACAAAGTTGGCCGATCTTCCTTTGAAAAACACACAGGCTCAAGTTTTAAAAGGAAATGAAAAGATCAATAATTGGAGAAGGAGGGAGCCATTTTCTTTGCTCTGTGCTGAACTGAGTTGAAATTGGCTCATAAGAATCCACCTAGGACATTCACTAGACTGCCCTGACCACAATGTGATGGAAGAGAAGAACTGAAGGTGCAATTTTGGAAAGTCTGCACTGCGACAAACTGAGGCTGACTTTACTCAGTAGGCCTCATCTCACCACAAAAAGTTGTTCTTTGTGGCCTGGCATTCAGGACCCTGAGGATTAGCTCAGGGAAGAAGCTCTTGAGGGCCACCCTTCAATGCAGTGAGGCTGATGGACCAAGTGGGGTTGGTGCCTCTCTGGTTCCAAGGAAAGCAGGCTGGCAGGAAAGTCACCTTGGGAAGATAATTCTTGACTTCATCATGTGCTATGGGTGGAAGAAGCAAGCTGCGTGTCCCAGTCTGGTTTCAAATTGTTGGATGCAGCTCATGACAAGGCCACAGAGAGATGACAATGTGACCAGCTCAACCTGGGATTCAGAGAAGGAAAAAAGGAAGGGATCCATGGATTCTCCTTTTCTGATTCCAAGCTTAACTGGATTTGATTGCCAGTATTGCTCCACAGTCTGGTCTCCACAACCATGGCCATCAGCCATAATGACCCTGCAAAGAGTTGTTCAGTCCTGGGTTCATGCCCCCTCTAGGATCGCATGGCCAATCAATGCTTTCCTAAATGCGAACACCCAGCAATGGTGTTTGCATAACACCCTTAAGCAGGTCACTTAAAAGCCTCACAGCTGCTCACGCACAATATGCTGGCGTTCTTTAAACTTGGAGGGGCAGGGGGAGATAGTGTGGATCCAGCCTGTGTGGTAGTTTACCATTCAGATGTATCAGATACATGCAGAAAATGGGTTCATTTAGTAACACACTGAACGCTTGGG